TTCTNAGCGAGCAAAATAACAAGTCTCGTTACTATTGTAGAAGCACCCTTTTTCCAATAACATTTTCCGTTGATATTAAATGCATCTCTTCCGCTGCGAATTTTTCAATGCAGTCTCTTAACATGCGAAAAGTGATTTTTGAAAAGATGTTCAAAGAAAATAATCGTAATACAAAAGGTGATAACACAAATTTGACCTTCAAATGTGAATCAGAACGTTAACATATTAAAACCATACTCCAAAAAATTTTTAATTTAACACTTAACAGCGGTTCCTAGAATGGCACTCACAGAACATTTTTTAAAGAGAAACTACAATTAACAGAGGTTTGTCGCACCGCATTCTAAACGAACCGCGGTTTCGAATGTTGCGGTTATCACCGGTTTTATAAACCGCGGTGCATGGACTTGTAACCGCGGTTTGAAATATAGCGGTTATCACCGGTTTCACAAACCTCGGTTTACTGCATCATAACCGCAGTTTCACATATAACGGTTATCACCGGTTTTCTAAACCGCGATGTTCTCTATTATAACTGCGGTGACTTTTCATTTTGTTTAAAAGAAATCTCTATTAATTTGAAATACATCTGTTCACTATCATTTTCATTTTAAGCTGATATACCAGATGATACTTAATCTAGCACAATAGAACGATTTTCGATTCATCTGAAAATTATCGTGGTAGAAATTTCACAAATCGACTGATAAAAAATGCTACAGCTTTTATTTATTTTCCAATCTGTTTCTGTTGAGGAGGGATTGAAGTAGAGTCACAAAAAAACAGTATTAGCTATTCGATAAATTAATAAAAACGAATGATTGTTAATGCAGACTGTTTCAAGAGAATTCATATGGTAGAAAATTCATTTTATTTTAAAACGAAGCCACGAAAAGCTAAAAATAAAGTTTATTGCGGTTCTTTCAAGCCACCACGGTGTAATTAGAAGGACCCCGATTTTCTGTGGCGAAATCTCAGTGTTCTATATCGCGGTTAGTAACAGTTTCAGAAACCGCGGTTTCGCGTATTCGCACCGTGATGCGCTACACCGCTGACAGACGCGGTTTTAAAAACCGTGTTCGTCACTTACAGAACCCCGATTCAGGAAACCGTGGTGTTGCTGTGAAAAACCGTCATGCATATCGAAGTGTAAAGTAATGTGTAAGGATAGTCAAGATATCGTGCCCCACTTTTTCTGCCAAATTTTTCGATCATTACAAAGATAATTCATCTGACTCTACAATGGTACTTTGTGGAAATGGAGCTCGAGAGAGTTCACTTCACTGCCCCTAGAAGGACACCATGCCTGAAAGCTTCAGGTTATGGCCGGCATGCTGAAGTCGGCTCACTATAGTGTGTCGGGAACAACCGCGGTTTTTTAATATAACGGCAGTCAGACCATCTATGCGTTTCTTTGAAATCGCTCGAAATCGCGGTTTTTTTGAAAAATTTTTTCCGTGGGCACAATCGAGTTATTAACCAAACATTTGATATTTTTTTGCTACTTCACCATACCGCCAACCAAGTATTTTTATCAAAAATCTAATTAAACAATATAAATAGATTTCTTTGCACAATATATTAATGTAAGCACAATGTTCACAAATGTTAATCACTAAAGAGAGAAATAATAATAATAATAAAATTCATCACTATAACAAAGATTTGACCTTGCCAATTGTTTAATGCACAATGTACCAAAAAAAATATATCCCAATTTGTATCCATAACGATATTTTGAAAGAAATTATCATTTACTCTTGTTACTTCGAAACTAAAATAAAATATTAATGTTATTATCATACTCAGACTAATAGCCATCATAAAATGTATATCAGGATTTATTGTTCACGCTTCAATTAAGAAAAACTTCAGAAGAAATTGATTTATTTCTGTAGGTTATACTAAGATTACTCAAGGATATACAGTTGGGACCAATTCAAATTCCCCCTATCGTTTTTTTTTTGTTTTTGTTACTGTACTTATTTTATTTATTAATCTACCATATATAGTGAGAAAGCCCGAAACGTGCCGCATCTTTTGGTATATTTACCTTGAGTATAAAATACAGTTTGAAGTATAAGAAATGTATTAGAAGATAATGCGACATTTTTTTACTAAAAGGCCGTGTGTCCATAATGGTATAAGGTTTTTTATTTCGCATCTATCTCGGATTAGGTAAATGATGAAACCTTGGATTCTTTTCCAAAAGATGCATCTTGAAAAGCTGTATAAAAACTGGATGATTGAGTTCTTATTATAATGGTTTTCTAATACTCAAAATGAAAAACTTACAGGAGAGCGTCACTGTGCATCATGCTAAAGACGCTTCAAGGACTTTTTTCATTCGCTATAGGATTTGGTCGATATAACTTCTGTAGAGCTTTCGACGTCACATCTTTTAAAAGACAAAATCAATATCATATCGCTTTCTCAAGTCGAGATATATGCAGAACAAAAAAATCTTCCAACATTTTCAGTATGGTGGCAAGTGCCTCTGTCATGTAAGCTGTTCATTTCAAGTATAAGAAAAACCATTAGAAAAGGTAAAAAGACATTCCATCATACAACTTTTATAGAGCTTTTCACGACGCATCTTTTGGAAAGGAATTCAAGGTTTTATCATTTACCTAACCCGAGATGTATACCAAATAAAAAATGTTACAAAATTATGGACACATTATAGTAAAACAAAATATCACCTTTTTGTCTAATACATGTTTTACACTTAAAAATACATTTTGTGTTCAGCATAAATATATCAAAAGATGCAGCGCGTTTCAGACTTTCTCGCTATATGTGGTAGATAAATAAATAAAATAAGTATAGTAACAAAAACAAAAAAAACGATAGGGGAAATTTCAATTGGGCCCAACTGTATGTAAAACACCGTTTATATATATAATATCGATTGTTGCACAAAATGAATAGCACCAACAATATTTTGTTCAATATAGTTTCATACAAAGAAGGCTCAACCAGTCATTAAATAACAGGAGGAAAAAGAATGTAGAAAGAGAAGAAAAGAATCAGTAATTGTTCATTAGAAACAGTGTTTGACTATGAAATTCATTGTACAACTATATCATAGAAATATTAAGTGGCTATCGAAAGCAAAAAAAACGCAGGAAGAGACGAAATAATCACAAAGAGTAAATAAATATATATTTAAGTTAAAGGAAAAAATGTGTTTTGAGCAGCAAAAATGAAGAAAACTGACCACCAAATTATCTATATGTGAAAAGAGAACTGAAAAATAAATCAATTAAACACCAAATGAAAAGATCAATTAATTCTTCAAATTGAAAAGTCAACATAAAGGTCTAATTTGAGAAAAACTATACCACAATTTATAGATATTTTTTCTTTTCCTCTTTTCTTTTTTCTTTTTTTCTCTTTTCAATAAGGAATAAAGTCAAAATAAATAATATAAATAGTTATACAATTTTATTTATCATTATTTTTATTGTTTTTTGTTTTTTTCAGGATAACCGACCGGTAGGAAGAGAAAAAGAAAGAAGACAAAAAGTAATGAGAAAAATATATCGATATTGATACAAATGTGTTAATCACACGTGACTTTTCGAATTTCATCTTTTTCAGGTAAGTAACTATAAAAAGAAAAACAAAAAAAAGTTATAATGAGCAAAATTATATTACTATTTATATTATTTACTTTTACTTTGTTTCTTATTGAAAAAAGAAAACAAAAATCTATAAATTTTGACATAGATATTCTCAAATTAGACCTTCATGTGAACCTGTTCAATTTAAAGAATAACAGTATCAATTAACTGATAAAACGCGTTCGCAAATTTTAGGTAAACGACGAGGAAAAAGTAGATAAAAAAATGTCGATCTACTTTATTATAATGAATTGTTTGTTCTTCATTATATTCATAATCTATCTCTTGTTGTTGGTTTTCGTAAAGATCCCCCACTTTTTCTTTCGATTTCACCTAAAAGTAACTTTCCTACTCAAATATTTTATCTTTCAGTGCTCTTTTCACATATAACTAATTTAATGCTTAGTGGTTCTACTTTATGCTGCTCAAAGCATATCTCGTTCAAATTCAAAGCATATGGATAAACATGTAATTAGTAATCTTTGATAATAAGTAGAAAAATAAAACAATTATTAAACACAACGCAAAAATATCAAAACAAAATTGGAAATGCTCACAAATCACATTTATCGTTGATAATAATTTTTGATTTAGTTTTTCAAAGAGAAAATATGGAATATAAATATAAAATGAAGTTGAAATGAGACAAATTTCAAGATAGTATTTATTAAAAATATATTCATACATAGTCAATTATTAGCAGGTTTATCAAATATATATTTCAATAACTCGAACGACAAATCAAAACATTTTTATCAAAATCAAGGAGGGTGTGGGCGTTCTGGTTCAATATACACACTCACCCACCCACACCCTTGCCAAGCATTAATCTATAAATATTGTTTGAAGTAGCATCATAAAAAAATATTGATTTTACTTTTTTTAAATTACGTTAAGCTATATTATAACTTGAATACGAAGAAGTATGATATGGATTATGAATGTAGACAGTGTGAGCTGCCGAACGATGCCCAAATGATTTGACTCGGTTTTGGTTTGCTTCTGCACGGTATTAATTTTGCAATCGAAAGACCCTTTAAAAAGTGATCAAATATGCGACTATCTAATTGAGTTTTCTCCCACGCTACGCAACAGATTTTAATAATATACATACCATTTGATGGAGGAAGTCTCTATTTACAAATCTACATTAGCCGTGTTCTGTAGTCAAAGATCACTATGAAACTTCTAGTTGCCTTTAAATGATCGTCTTTAATTTATTGTTTTTTCAGTTAAAATTGATTTTGAATCTTATGAACGTTAGAAAAATCGTGAAAAGATTCACACAAAAATGTCAAAAAGAGTTCATGGATGAGAGTTAGGATCTTCTCTGCATCCTCTAGCAAGAGAAAAGCAAAAGGTTTATTAATATGATCAATGTTCGACGTCGAAAGAATTTTGACTCGGTGCGTAAATCGAAACTTTTGCATTTTTAGAATTCTTGTGACTTTGGAGCCTTGACAATAAGGAAAGTATTATCTGTTTTTGCTCTCGCGATGAATATTGTTTACATGAATAATCTCGATTGTCTGCTGTAAATGTTTTTCCTAGCACGTAATCTGCTAGTTTTTGGCCTGTTTTCAGCCCTTCTATGTATGCTCCATGTACAAATCCGTAGTATTCTCGTGAATATGCTTCACCAGCGAAATGAAGTCGCCCAACTGGTCGTCCCAAATTCTGATGTTGACATTGTGAAGTACCCGTCGGCCAGTTACTATAAGAACCACGATACAACGGATCTAGTGTCCATCGATAATAATAAAAGTTATTTGGCTCTGGAATATTGTTCCCATACATCGATCTCAATACTTCCATGATCTCTGTCAATGTTCGATTTTTAATTTGCGCCTCAACAATCAATGCTTGATCACCAACAACGGTGACGACTAAAATATTACTATCAGGCAAAAACCCGATCTCACTCAATGACTGCCATAAAGGATAATAACCTCGTCTGTAAGGATCAGCATATAAACAAAATTGTACATTATCCCAAAATTTATGAGAAAATTGAAGAAAGATTTTTGTATAAGTTACCATTTTGAATGAAAAAATCGATTCCTGTTTCCAGACTGGAAATTGTGGCATAAACTGCACATCTTTATGTTGAAGAACACCAATTGAAAATGTACAGATAGCATAATCAGCCCAGATAATGAGACCATCTTTCAATGTAATGTTTACTGAATCGTTTGAATATGTTACTTTTGTTACGATGCTGTTGTATAAAATGTTTTTATTAGTGGCAATTGTTTTAGCTTTTTGACGCACCAAAAATGCGTATCCTCGTTGATCCGTAACAAATTGATCATGAACTGACCACTGACCGTGAGTTGCTTTTTCATTAGCTGCTGTTCGAATCATACTCGATGCACTAGGAGTATCAGCAAATTCGAAGTCAAATGCCCACCAATCGGCTACTTTTTCGTATGATGTCTCAGGCATCCATCCTCGAAGTCTTTGACCATCGGCAAATGATAGATCTTCAAGGTTTGATTCTTCTCGTTTTTCAGCGTCGTACAACACTTGGTCGAAATGAACGAATGCTCGATCTACGACGTCTAAATAATTTCGAAAACCATTTTGATCATAGGTCAATAAATTATTAGTATCACTGGAAGTACTTGAAAGATTGTATTTTTTCGCCATCGTCCATATCGGATTTTCTTTTCGAGTTTTATGATTTTGAATACCTGCAATCCAATTAGCACCTAATTCAATAATATATTTGTCGAATGTTGTTTCTTTTATTCGACCTCCAAGAACTGATTCTGCTTCAATAATTAAAAAATCTGATATTCCATTTTGTGATAAAGTATTAGCAGCCATCACACCGGACATTCCACCACCAAGAATGGCTATCTTTGTTCTAATCAATTTAGCGGTACACAAACTGAGAAAGCCAACAAGTAATCCCATACCAAGACTGATCATTTTTTTGATACTCATCGTCACTAAATTCAAAGATCTTAAAGAATTATTTTCAATGATCTAGAGAGAAGATAATAAAGTTAAAGATAGATAGTCAATATAGTATGAATGGATCTGGATGTGACTTGATGTGTTGAGAGAAAATCTGTACTGGCACATATCGATATTCTTCCACTCACACACACACTCAAATCAACACCAAAATTCATCTCCCTACACCTCATACCTACATCCATATTTTGATTGAACGTATTAGAAGATTCTGTTCTTCCATGGTAAAAGATTTATTTCGATTTTGCATGAACAAGTAATCGAATTGCCATGTGTGCTTTCGTATTTTTCATATAATTATGAAATCAATCGAAAAACAATTCTATTGATCCCTTTCGGAGTTCATTCAAAACATGAGTCCAAATAAAACGCGACTTGGACATTAAAAATTTGTTCATAAGATTGTAAAATGATCAGAGAACACAAAAAAGATAAATATGGCTATGTATTAAGAATGGCGTCATTATTAACCTCATGCTTCCATTCAGCTCTGGAAGAGCTGAATTATGAAATATTTTAAGGACATAAATATTGTATAACCAGTTTGAAACAATGCATATCCAGTCAATAATTTTTATTTGTTTCAACTATTCTTTTATTTCAAGTATAAAACGAGATATTAGGAGGAAAAAATAGCTAAAATCAGTCAAACAATACATATTCAACCTATGTAAACAACAGATCCTCAACTGCGATCAGCTCCCAATCTATTTACTCGAACAAACTGTACAAATTTTGATAGCTCATTACATATTATACCCTGACATGTACACCATATCCTGGCTGTGATTTTGGGTGTGCATGAGAGTAAGCATAGGGATGTCAAATGTGAGTACTGGTTTCGTCTTCACCATCATAACAACACCCACATTACATCTTATTCAGAAAATATGACAAAATTTTATATTTCAAAATAGTTATAATATTTTCAACTTTTTTTAAAGATCCTATTAATATCCAATTCCTTAATCTTCTATATATATAGGAAGGATACACAGTTTATGTTAAGACCGATAATAAACAATGTTCGATCAGTAATGCGACAGTGATGATAGATCAGATATAGAATCTAACTGAGCTTTAGTGATCTAGGTTCGGTTTACTTTCTCTTTCTAATTTTAAACAATTAATCAAATGTCATTTGATTGTTGCCCACAGAATCCGAATATTATAACAAAAAGACGATAGATCGATCAATTATTTTTCTTACACATTTTTCTAAATTCACTCACTTTTCGAAAATTAGTTCAGATTTTGTTCAGTTCGAGCGTATTTAAAAAAGATGGTTCAGATTTGGTAAATTCTAGCTCTTTATGAGAAACTTTTAAGGACGCGGCCTACCTAGTGCGTAGTTTGTTTGAACTGCAGACGTTAAACAAATGTTTTCGATTAAGGAATTGACCTCAATTCGATAGAAGTTGAAACCAGTGGTCAAATCAACTATGACTAACACGGATTGCTTGAATATGACCTTCACAAATGAAGATGACAACGAAACTTTTGTCGAATTGTCAAACCACACACAAGTCTTACAGCGATTGCAGAATATAACACTGTACGAAGTTATACAAACAAGAAAAACACTGTGACTGACCAATAGAAGTGTTCGTCATAGTAGAAGAGTCAAAAATAAAGACAATTACATGATCATACAAACTGCAATTTCGTTGCTAATATGGAATTGAGTAAGACAATCAATATTGTCATGAGAAATAGCCACCATCTGAGAACAGCTTACTTTGATAGTCAGAATAGTTAAATGAAAGCATGAAAAATGCATAGTGTTTACTTTTGTGTCTATGCGTGAATTCTGTCGTGAGAAAAAAAGAGAACGAGCAAAAAGACGCTCTCGACACTCTTGCTTGATGAATGGAAAAGGAAAAAACCGAAGGTAAAGCAATATATATGTAAGAAAAAATTGATTTTTGCTCGAGCGTAATCAAAATTCTACCCAAAAGGCACATGTAACAGCGAATCAGAAATCAAACGATTAAATGCGTGACCGATCACTTCGTTGCAATTACTTCGTCGCACGATCACTTCGTCGTAGAACAATTTTTTTTCGTTCCGTTCGTCGCAGAATAATTTCTTTCGTTCTGTTCGTTGCGTTCCTCTCAATTAATTGTTTTTCAAGAAATGAAATTGATCAATTTAATTCATATTTATTTTGTGCATGATACATAGGATAATGATGAACAAATTGAGTACAAAAAAAAAAGAAAAAAACCAAACTAGAAAAACCAAAAAAAGAAGAGAAAAATCAAAAAAAATTAAAGAGTTATGTTAGCCGCAATATTTTTAAAGTTATTCTTCGTTCGCTGGAGCTCCATCAGAATGACATTGTATTAAAATTTTTTATTGATCCTTTTTCCCAAATAAAGTCATACAGTGCGGGCCGTAAAAAGCATGTAGTTTTTTGTTTTTATGCATAAATGAGTAAAAAGGATAGTCTGAAGATTTTCTTTCAAATGAGAGTTTTTAGAGAATTTTTCGCTGATCATTTTGGTAAAAAACGTTTTTAATTTTCATTGAATAATAACGATTTTATAGCCAAAATACTAAACACTGTAAAAAATAGTAAAGAAAAAAGTTTAGCAAACTTTTAGTATTTGGCTAATTTCTACGTTATTTCACC